TTGAGCTGTAAACATGAGATCCGTCAGCAGGTGATCGCCCATTACACAAACACAAAACAACACGAAGGAAGAAAGATTAAATAGAGCCATTTCTGACGAAAGGACTCAGACTAAAGCAGACTGCTGTCTTGTCTAGTGTTCCACTCACAGACCTCATTTCTAACTTGATTTTGAAACTAATACTCAAAACAAATGTTGAGACCACAGCAATTATACATATCCTCTTTGGACATTAAACTGTGGTCACAATAATAATACTTATAAAGAGACCACAGGGTTCTCCTGTAAAATGTATTATCCCAAATTATACAATACAATTCTACTACTAATATTTACTAGTATTTGTCCCTTATCTAATGCTCTGCCCCATTTGAAAAATAAAACTACACTATTGCTGCATTAATTTATCTTATTTAGTAAATATTCATTGTTAAAATAATGTGTTTGATGATTAACATATTACCCACATATTGGTAAATACAATAATACATAAATATTTTATTGCTTTTGCCTACTCCTTATTTGCCACATGGAGTAAATTATAAATTATATATATGTACAGTATATGAAAGTTAGAGAACAGAAAATAATCATAAGCATTTTTATAACAACATTTCAATTACATGTAAAGTTTGTAAATGTTTTGTAAAATTTGCAAACACAACATACTACTAATACTGCTACAACATTGGAAAAAATGACAAAAAAGTAAGTCAAAAATAGCTTGAAGTATTTTCATACTGGTCTTAAAACCAGATTTGAAAATTATATCTTAGAAGGAGACTATTTGAATACAATATTTCAGCTTGTCCCTTTGCCCCATCTTGTTTTAAGACAGTGTTTGTGTCTGAGGAGATCATATCTTCATAGTATCACATTCTCTCGTACCATAAGTGACCTGTCAAAAACTTTCCATAATGTTGTCAAACATTACATCGTCCTTTTTCCACTGAGGGACATTTTTCCATCACAGACCCAGAAACCCACACCCAGTCATTAGTCCCACCACCACTACCTCCACCACTACTGCAACTGCAAGTACTACAGTAATACCACAGGTGCGACCAGTCAGCGATTTGAAGGATTTAAGTAGAGACACAGAGCAGTGAGTCAAGACCACTGCAAAGAGTAAACAACTATTATACACTTAGGATTGTTCCACTGGAGAGCAGCACAATGTGGCAACAGTGACTGTGATATCTCTGAGCAACAATTTTGAAATCCTGTATGTTTAGAAAGTCTCCACATCTGAAGACATTAACTAAGCACTTTTCAGAATATGTTTAGTTCTACCTGAAGTACAGCCATTACTGTAGTAGAAATAAAATATTCACTACAAATATGTACATTAAAGTTTGGATTCATGTTGTTTTTTCCCCTTTTCCTCACTATATTCTTACAGTTAGATCTGAGAAAGGCCGGAGGGAGAGAGAGACCAGAGAGATAGAGAGAGAGAGACGAGAGAAAAGAGAGAGAGAGAAAGAGAGACCAGAGAGATAGAAAGAGAGAGCCCCAAGAGTGAGAAAAGAGAGACCAGAGAGAGAGACCAGAGAGAGAAAGAGATCAGAGAGAGAGACCAGAGAGAGAAAGAGATCAGAGAGAGACCAGAAAGAGACCACCATATCTTGGCGTTCCAAAAAGAAAACACATCATGCGTTTTTAAGGTAGCCCTGAGTGTTTTGACAGTGGTAAATATTGGCGTGTTGTTTGGACCTGTGTATTCAGCCTTGTGTGAATGTGTAGTTTTACAACCTCCTTCACCTGACCTACATGTAAGCAACGGGCTATTTTGAAATGTTTTGGTTTAAACACATTCATTAAAAGCCTTTTTAAGCCGTCGCTGTGAGAGATCCATATCTCTGTGTCGTCTTCTCTCTTTGAGGAGTGATTAAACCGGACACTTCTTTAGAGAATAAATAAACTTCATGTCTCGGTTTGTCACTTTGAATGAGTCACCGCTGTTCTTCCATTTGCCAAAGTAAACACACACAGCACTGGTTTTTGAAATCTACAAGAAGGTCTTTCATCACAACTTAAAAATGTTATGCTTTGGTTTAATAGAGCCACTGTACATTCTGTGACATCCATAGATCGATGCTTTTATATAATGCCTTCCATGACCCCATCTCCCTTTGCATTCTTCTTTTAGTGACTCTCTCTCTCTGGTCTCTCTCTATCTGGTCTCTCCTCTCTCTCTGCCTGGTCTCTACTCTCTCTGCCTGGTCTCTACTCTCTCTGCCTGGTCTCTACTCTCTCTGCCTGGTCTCTACTCTCTCTGCCTGGTCTCTACTCTCTCTGCCTGGTCTCTACTCTCTCTGTCTGGTCTCTACTCTCTCTGTCTGGTCTCTACTCTCTCTGTCTGGTCTCTACTCTCTCTGTCTGGTCTCTACTCTCTCTGTCTGGTCTCTACTCTCTCTGCCTGGTCTCTACTCTCTGTCTGGTCTCTCACACACTCCCTGGTCTCTCTCTTATGCTTAAATTCATGAAACAAAAAGTTACGTAGTCCAGTTTTACAATATTACATTCTTTGCCAATTATTGTTCAAAAACATTCGGAATGGTCTGCGTCACCGATTATCAATAATTTGGTAAAAAAAACAAAAATAAAAAAAACTAAAGCAATCTTATTTTAAATGTACGAGAAATGGAAGAGGAAAGGGGAAGCAGTTAAAATATTTTTGCTCAAGTATTAAATTTTAAATGCTCGGAATTTGCGTGAACATAATCTCTATAATCTCTCGGCACAAGATGCAGGAGATAGAAATGATTCACAAGGTTAGTCAGTGCAGCATTCCTCTAATCGTCTGTTTGAGATGCTCGAGTGGGAGACGCTGCTCGCTGGGGATATTATTGGACATTCTTGTGATGCATCGCGGCTGACGTCCAAACTTAAACAAATCCGTTGGTATTTTTAGCTCATTCAATAATAGAGTGACTAAGGAGACCTGTGTAAGCAGGCAGAGGTGCATGGGGGCCTCTTGTGGTGGACAGACGCAACTACAGCTTTTACACTAACAAATGGCATTCACCAACAGATGCTCTTTTACATGTCAAGATGTTTTTGCTTTTGTGACGTAGAACATTTTAGTTACAAGTTATTTTAGTCTGAACATAGACAGAGAGAAGTCCTTTCAGAAGCATCTATTTGTTCAGGAGGTGAATTTAACTAAATGTATCAAAAGAGGCAGAAATTAAAACTGGGGGTAACTTTCAAATCACAATATACATTCATTCATTGATTTTCTACCCCTTTATTAATCCATTTATGGGTCGGGAGACAAGGAGAGCTGCCACCCAATGCTCATAGCACCAGTTCCTCGCTGATCCTCTGCAGTTGGTAAGTCCACAGGAAGATGTCTGCTATATTAGTGGTGTTATAGACTTTGTGTTTCAGCGGGAGCTTCAGGAAATGTGGGGTTAAGTGTCTTGCCCAAGGACACAACGACAGCCAACATTAGTGGGAGCAGTTGGAGTAGGTCCCGAGGTGGGCACGAACCCATGACTTTCCAGCCCAAAGGCCAATGACCAACTGAGCTACTGTCGCCCCAATATATCACAATATACAACTGTGTAATAAAGTCCTTTCTCACTCTCAAAACAGCACGTATTTCTGGCCTCTTTCAATGCTTTAGATCGGCTTTTTTCATACAGAACAGTGAAAAAGACATGAGAACCCTCTATCAGCTCTCAGCCCAAAGCATCAAATTGTGACCCACAGGGCTCTTTTTTTTCCCACAAAAGATGTTTTCTGTTCAAATTAAAGCTGCACTAACTGACTTTATTTTCGTATTAATTACGAAAATGCTATCCATGTCCATGTAGTGCATTGGGATATACGTCCTTTTGAAGAAAAAGTAGCGCAGATTTGTGCTGGCCTGACATTATATTTTCGTTCGAGTTTTGATGAAACAAGGAAGAGAATGTGTTTCGGGTCGCAGATTGTGACCAATCACAGCGCACCACTAGCCCCCACTTTCGTGAGAAATCTCCATGTCCGTTAGCACAGACAGCTGAGTTAGCACAACAAGCGGCGGAGCTAACCTGAAACTTTCTCGTCTTCGTCACCGGGTACTGCTTACACAGCGAGACAGCCATCCAAAAGAAAGTCTCGTTCCTCCGCGCTTCACGGTTCTATCGTTCTATGGTCACGCCATCCACGTGAAAATCCATATCCATGTATTATCCATATTGGGAGAGGCTAGCTCCGTCTCAACACTGTGTGTGTGGGGGGCGATAGCTTCGTGGGTGCGGGGAGGGGAGCAGAAAGAGCGAGGCCAGCGAGTCCGCGGCTTCAAAATCCCAAAGTCAGTTAGTGCAGCTTTAAGACTAGTGGTGGGAACCTAAGGGTACCTCACGATACGATACGATACACGATACAAAGCTCACAATAACGATAATATCACGATAACGATTTTATCACGATATGACAATTATTGATATGTTGGTCAAAAAAAAAAACGTACTCTTTATTTCATGATAAATAGAATGGAGATGCGTAATGTAGCCATATATTAAGTATTGATACAAATTCAAAAAATAAATAAATAAATAAAAAAAAATCTTTTTTTTTTCTTTCTTCAAAATCGATATCGATACTTGGCAAATGCATATCGATAATCGAATCGCAGGAGAACGTATCACCCCTAATTAAGACAAAACTTTGTGGTTCGAGTTGCTCACAACATACGACTCTTTCTTTTCGACAAACAATGTATTATTTATGACACATAAGTTAAGAACCCGAGCTTTACAAAACAAAACCCATTCCTTCATCTCTATTGTAGCTTTTCAATTCTTAATGAAAATGACTAAATTGACACCTTTATACGACATGTACTGTGATTATTTATTGTGTTAGTTCTTTATGTGTTGTTTGGTTAAGCACTATGAACTATGCCAAACAAGTCCACTTCTGCCACTTTTAAGCACACATTTTCTTCACTCACATAAAAGGCTTTGCTAAACATAATTGTATATATTTGTATTAATTCCAGCGCTTACCCTGAGCGCTCCCTCCTCATACAGGTCTTCTGGGACTTTGCAGGCAATGAGAGCGTTGGGCAACTCTGTGAACTTGACATCGACCGTGGCCTCTTCATTTGTGCCGTTTTCCCGCTGCATTGTGGCGAAATATTGTGATCTGGAATCCGATGGGAGTTTAAAGAGTTGGTTTTAGTCCAAGGATATTGAACACATTTGTTAAGATTCAGATACTGTGCAAGGTTCTGTTAGTGTTTCTCAAACGTACGACAGGATCTCTGCAGCGGTGGACAGTTATAATCTGTATAAGACCTTCTTAAGACCACTCCAGCTAAAAATAGAACAATTTGTACCTTTAAAAGGGCATGCAAACCAAACATATTTCTGATATTATTTGTGTCATTGTCATTTTATCTTTTAGAATGTGAAATAATATGCTCAGTTGAAAATATATGGTGAATTAAGTATGAAGGGTAAAAAAAATTCTATCTGGCTGTAACTCTCTCTGCTGCCACCAGAGGGAGGTAGAGTGTGTATGATGTCATAGTGGTACAATGACATCATACTATTACAGGGCTAAAACAGGAGCAAACAGAAAGGGGTGGGGCTACATATTTGAGCCACAAGTTCCAGATAATAGTGTGGATGGATCTAAACAATTCCAGGTTTGTTTTTGAAGAGAGAACATGATGTGTAGCACGATTAAAAACCCAAATATTGGTTATTATTCGATATTTATGCAGTGACATAACAACATGGTTTAAAATGTCATCTTAGCTTTAAGCAGCTGAAATGGTCTTCCTGAAAATGTGAGAAACTTCTACTCAAGTCCAAATCCAGGTTAAACGAGTTGTTTAGCTGTGCACACAACTGATGAATTATATTTTGCAATTATTTTATTTTTTTAACATGTGTCTTGACTTGTTTTGTTTAGCACATTGCGTTGTCTTGTGTGTGACCTATGCTGTACAAATAAACTTTCCTTGCCATGTTATTTTAAATATGATGCTACACAATCTTAATTTTCTGAGTAGACCTCAACACAAGCATACATAATATTAAGAGAAATAAAAAGTCCAGATGGTGGATTCTTACTAACAATATCAGTCAATTACTTCACGACTCTGTGAAGCTGATCAAGTTCGCGGACGACACCACCCTCATTGGACTCATCTCCAACAACAATGAGTCCGCCTACAGGAGGGAGGTGGACCGGCTGGTGTCCTGGTGCAGTGGTAACAACCTGGAGCTGAACGCCCAGAAGACAGTGGAGATGATTGTGGACTTCAGGAAGAGCACTGTCCCCCCGCCCCCACCCTCCGTGATGGACTCCCCCATCACCTCTGTGGAGTCCTTCCGTTTCCTGGGCACCACCATCACCCAGGACCTCAAGTGGGAGCCGACCATCAGCTCCCTCATCAAGAAGGCCCAGCAGAGGATGTACTTCCTGTAAAGCCAAGCTGCCTGCACAGATGTTGGTGCAGTTCTACACGGCCATCATCGAGTCCATCCTCACCTCCTCCATCACCGTGTGGTTCGCTGGAGCCACAGTCAGGGACAAACAGAGACTACAGCGCATTGTGCGCTCTGCAGAGGAAGTGATCGGCCGCAGCCTTCCATCGCTGCAGGACCTGTACGTCGCCCGAGCTCGAGGCCGGGCTGGTCGTATCACAGCCGACCCCTCTCACCCTGCACATGGACTATTCCAACCACTCCCCTCAGGCAGGAGGCTGCGGTCCATCAGGACTAGAACCTCCCGCCACAAGAACAGTTTCTTCCCCTCTGCTGTTGGACTCTTGAACACTTCTTAACCTGTCCCCCCGCCCTTTATAAAGTCACTTTACTGCCCATCATACGTCACTTTACTTCACTGTACTGCTGTCACCTTACATTGTGTGCACCATGTGCACTTGTATATTGTAAATAGTAACTGTAACTCTATTTTAAATTTAAATTTATTCTTTAGAAGTGTTTTTTATTCTTATTTTTATTATCTCTTTTTGACTGTTGCACTGAGCCAAAGCAATTTCCAAGTCTGTGACCTCCTGTTACTTACGTGGCAATAAAAAATATTCTGATTCTGATTCTGATTACCACAACATAACACGAATTACAACAAGAAAATACACAGAAATAAACTGCTTCAGGGCACGTAATCATGTGTTTAATAGATAATGTGAAATATAAATTCGTTGCACTAGGAAAAATGGTTAGACAAAAGCTTGAAGTCAGAATACCCCAGACAAACAAACAAAACAGGGCTCATTGACAAGGACCACATCCAGTTTCTCAAAGCATTAACCTTGTTCAGAGCCTATAACTGTGGTGTCACTTCTTCCTAATAGTAACACATATATTCTAACATCTTGATTGTAATGTTACGTGCTTACCTGAGCGATATGAAGCGTTATTTCATGCTGTTTAACACAAATAAATGTGTTCAAGTGTCTTCTCCCAGCCTCGTGAAGTCAGCTGTTTAGCTAGCTTAAGCCGAATGCTAACACCGAACCTGGCCAAAAAACGGGGAAAAAAGTCAAGTGTTGTCGTTTTAACACTGGTGGACAGTTGCAAGTCTGTTTTACTGACAGATATGTGAAAATAAACAGAAAAAACGCTGTATTTTGTTGTTTTTGAACCAACTCGGAGCAGATTGTTCAAAGGGATAAAACAGGAGGTTACGTCAATGCCTGCTCTGGTTTTGTCGAAGTAAAAGGAGATTTGTCGCCGTCGTGTGGACACAGGTGGTAACTACATAGCCTAAAATGAGAAATACAAAGAAAAAACATATTTTTGCTCCAGTTTTATATGGAATGAATGTAACCCTAATGCTACCCTTGGGTAAAAATGACCCACCTCAGTTATCGAAAGTAGAAGAAAAATAAACTGAATTAGGGTCTAAAATGATCTAAATGACACAGGGCTGATAAAGTTAGGAATAATCATAAAAATTCTGCGAGAAAATAAATGTTTCATGGTAATTTTTAATCACTAGATCAATTTGTATCAATGAGTGTTCACAACGGTGTCTAAATGTATTTCATTGAGCACTTCTTCTTTTTGAAACAATGCATCCCTCCTCATGGGATGTTGGTCCACTCCTCTCCAATGTTCAAAGTTCCTGGAAAATGTCATCTCTAGACCATGTTTGGAATACAAAAGCATGTTCCAGTTTCTGCCAATATCCAGCAACCTGACCCAGAGCCACCGTCTCTGTACGATTTGCAGCCAAATGAGCCAACAGACTGTATGGATACGATGTATTGTCAAGTGTCAACACACACACAAACATTCTAGGGACGGACAAAGCTTTAAATGCTGTAGTTCATGTAACAAAAAAAGCAAGCATGTATGTTTGTAAGCCTGCTTACTTTTTCTATTATAATGCTTTATCTTTTATTAGAACCAGCCTATAAAAACAGTGGAGAAATGTTTTATTTGTTTTCAGTGGAAAAGTGCTATAGACAAATTACTCATATATCATATATCCATTACAGTTTATGAGACAGTAAAAAGGGTGCAACCTTTGAATGATTCTAAATTAAAAAGAACTTTCTTCTCAAAGCTCTTTATGTTTGCATGTCTAACTGTAATTGACTTGACAGAGCAGTGGGTTCACGTCCTTTCATGGTCTTTGACCTACAGTATGTGTCTCTGCTGGTAGTTCACTGTAGGAGAAAAAAAGGTATAATATATAAACTTAAAATATATATTTCCCAAAAGGAAAAATCCGAAATGTTATCTTTAAAAAAAAATTATATTCTGGTATTCTACACATTCATTTCAGAATACTTTTGACCTTACCATAGACTGATCGTACCTGGTCCAAACTAAAAATGCATGTTCTAGCTAATTATTTGTGATGTCTTCGGATCCTATAATTGTTTGATCTTTTAAGTTTTCCTTCCATTTAATCCAAAGACAAAAAAATTCACTGATAATATCAAAAATAGATTGGGGCAAAGAGAGTTACTATTAATTAAAGCTGCACTAACTGACTTTATTTTTGTATTCATTACGAAAATGCTATCCATGTCCATGTAGTGCATTGGGATATACGTCCTTTTGACGAAAAAGTAGCGCAGGTTTGTGCTGGCGTGACATTATATTTTAGATCGAGTTTTGATGAAACAAGGAAGAGAATGTGTTTCGGGTCGCAGATTGTGACCAATCACAGCGGACCACTAGCCCCCACTTTTGTGAGAAATCTACAGGTCCCTGTTAGCATAGACGGCTGAGTTAGCACAACAAGCGGCGGAGCTAACCTGAAGCTTCCTCGTCTTCGTCACGGTTACTGCTTACACAGCGAGACAGCCATCCAAAAGAAAGTCTCGTTCCTCCGCGCTTCCCGGTTCTATCGTTCTATGGTCACGCCATCCACGTGCAAATCCATGTCCATGTATTATCCATATTGGGAGACGCTAGCTCCGTCCCAACAGTGGGTGTGTGTGGGGGGCGATAGCTTCGTGGGTGCGGGGAGGGGAGCAGAAAGAGCGAGGCCAGCGAGTCCGCGGCTTCAAAATCTCAAAGTCAGTTAGTGCAGCTTTAAAGCCGGGGTATGGCATGGTGTTTATCCCAGCACAAAGAATCTTCTAGAAGTAAAATATTGTGAACAAATCAGCACAATATGCTGTCTTCATCTTAAGAAAATAAGGTTTATTTTGCAAACTTGTAAGATATCCCGTTTGAGTCAATACTTGATGCTTTGGCCTGAGTGAGGGTGGTCCTCTCTTACTACCTCTTCTACCTGAAAAATCTAACTGCATTGAGAGCTTGAAACTAGTTAAATCCTTTCCTGAAAACTCCAGCTTTACTATGCATTCAATTACTGACATACTTTTCTGACCAAATGTGTCACTTCCTCGGCTGCTTTCCAAACAATGACAGTTGATTCATGAGTTATTTTTGAAGACTGACCATGTGACCAATGTGTACCACACAGTTTGAGTCTTTGCGATTATAGGCCTCCCGTGGTGCCAGTCCGTGTGTGGCAGAGGCTTAAACTGGCCGTGGTCATGTGGTGATCAGCCTGTTTTTAATCCTAGGGAGAAAACAGAGAGGTGGGAGGGAGTAAAGTAGAGCAGGGAAAGAGGAGAGAAGCAAGAGAGGGGAGGAGAGAGAGTGGATGCCAGGTTAGTGATGTC